AGCAAAGAATTCAGATCTACAGGAAAAATACTGACTCGGAACAGTTTTCAAAGCAAATATATATTCTAGATTCCAAGCTCTCCCCTCTTCCAGTCTTTACTTGTTCTCCCTATGCATAACCATCTCAATTTTGTCCCTTGACGAATAGAAAGGGGAATCACTTCTGCTGGAGCCTATAGCAATTCACTTAAACTGGCTAGGTGACACAGAGGGACTTACAAGATGCTTTTACCCATTGGCTATGTATTTTGAGCAGAAGTGCTCAAAGGAAACCCAGCCTGAGCCACTGCAGACCAACATCTGAAGGCCTCCAATAGCTCCACCTTCCACACGGCTTACGGAAATCATTTGGCTAGCACAAAAAACCAAACACGATGTCTAGAGCTAGAAGTATGCCTTCAGCTCCATGAACCTCCCCCTCCGGCTTCATTAGTGAAGAAGTGAGATTACCGCACCTGTTCGAAAAGCACAAAACACCCGCCCTAGTAAGTTGTTTGCACACTCCTTTTTCATCCTGGCATTCTTCATAATCTGACTGCAAGAAAAACACATTAGGGCCATTCTATAACTTTTCCCTCTAATTTTGTAGATCATTCAAGCACGACGGGCCCACCATGCTTTTAACTTCTCCCAAGCTGCAGTTAGAAGTAAATTTATCAATTATGCTTTTCTTACAGGCTTTGCAAAGTTATGTGCAAAACCACATGCTTGCACAGTCAGATCCCAAACAGCCAGTTACTAAATATATATTGTGTACATAAACCGTATATAAACCTCATGGTAGACACGTTGATCTGATCAGTGCCTGTGTCTCTTGGAGTACGGTGAGTACCACTTTGGGGCTAGTTAGTGGGACATTACTGCATTTCTGTACAGCGCTTTGCTAACACTAATAAAACTACAGCAAAACTAAAAGTTACAAGATTCATGGCTTTGCTAGCCCTAGAGAGACCACTTGCCTCCAGGCTTCTAACTTCTGTTCTTTTTAAACAACGAAAGATAAAGATGCCCTTGGCTGATACACTATTCCCTGTAGTCACAGGGTAAAAGCACACTGAATCCCTTAGTGCTGGCTCTTATCCTCCATTTCACATTAATGAAGCAACAAAAGCCATTACAGATGCCTGCACTGCGCACGACGTACCGAAGGCAAACATCTTCACAGCTGTCAGGCTGCGGGAGAGAGAAGCCGTAATACATGCTGTTACCATGGTGCCACCCGCTGCCGGAACATCACAAATAGGATGAATTATCTGATGTGCACCGAAGCAATTTTACTCAGCCTGCTAAGAGATTATTTTTATACGAATCTCTAAGTTCTCCTTACAGAAATTCAGGTAAGGATTTAAAGTGATTCTCACAGCCAGAATGCTGTCAAAGAAGGTGCTTTACAGTGTGATAACAGTAAAAAGGTACCTGCTCTGTGTACTTGGTTACAATCCAGATTTCCCAGTCATGGTACACAGTTACGCTGGCCTATTAAGGCTGGTTCAAACTGAGAACAAGCCACCAAGCAAGCATTCGTTTTCATCACAGCCATGCATTTCAAATCCCAAATATCTCCACTCTTTGCAGGAAGCGTAACCTGATCAAGTAAACCAAAACATTACAAGCAGTTTTAAACAGGACTTCTGTTGTGCAGGGTACTGCTCAGACACCATTTTGAACTCAAGTTGCGTCTATTCCTGACAGTACCCCAACAGAAAATAAAGCTTTATAAGTATAACACATGCAGCTTTTTATATCAACATTAAAACGGTTAAGGAAATCCCAATGAGAACAAAAAGCCCCAGATGAGGTACGCTACTGTAGGAAACAAAAATATTCCCAGTCACATAAAATTTGGTGCCGAGCATTAACATACAACCAAAACCAAAGTTAACTTCATCATTCATCTGCTATAGAGTCTTCTTAACTCCGGGTTTTGTCATGGATGTGTTTGAAATTGGATATTAGCATTTATTTATTTTTAATCTTTAAACCAAAAGGATCATGGCCAACATTTTAAAGAGCTAATTAATCTTTAAACACTAAACATTAATTAGCTGTAGTGGTAGTATAAAGAAAACTGATTTTTGCATTGTGTTGCCGAGTACAGATTTATATCCCATACACGAGATTCCTAGCAACACCCCTGTCCTGGCTCAGGGATAGGCTACGTGATAAAACATACCTTTTTGATCTCAACTATTTACAGATAAAATCTTGAAAATCTTGCTTGCTTCTTAGTTTGACTGGCTTGTGTTGCCAGAGACAGTATTTGTAGAAAATCAGATGAAACGCTCAAAGGATCCTACGGAAAACGTTCCTCTGCAGCCAAAATACCCTCTCATCATTTTACAGAAAAAAAGAAAATTGAGGGTAGTTGAAGGAAAGGACACAAAACCTCTGACTCTTTCTTTTTCCCCGAGGCTTTGAAAGGATTTAATAATTTAAGTAAAATAAAAGATTACACAAGTGTGAACTCACTTAGTTTATTCTAGTGTTATTACCTTGTGCTCTCTGCTGCAGCAGCATTCATTCTCACGCAGACAGACCAGCAATATTCCCAAGTCTGACTCACACCGTGCTTTCAGCGCACCCGTTCCACTGTCCCCACAAGTAACAAGTTTTTGGGCTTCAAGATCAAAGTCTATCAGTACCAAGAGGCCTATCTGAATAATTATCATCTTTACAAACATTATACAAATGCTCATCCATTTTGGTATGAAATCCTACAACTAGCAAGCGTGTTTTAAGTGTTTTGACAGGTGTGCATGTATACACACATGTGGACGTGGCACAAAAAGCTTATTTCTGGACATTCAAATAACAGATCTAAGTGCTTGATCACAGTGAATATTTTACATCAACAAAAAAAGAATTATTTTTACCATGATAAACTTCCGTAACACATAGAAAGCACTAATGTCTCTCTCCAGAGAAGATGTCTATTTGTACATAAAGTTATAACCTACATTTATGCTGATTTAGTGCCGTATCTTGATGGTATCTCATGCCACGTTATCTGGTGTTTTGCACACCAATGACTTATTTTCACCTGTGTGGCTGCATAACAAGCTGCCACTTGATGGCACTGTGTAACCAGTTTCAGCGCCTCAGTTACAGGCATTTTTCTGTAAAATTGGACTTGGACTGTTTTCTCCCAGCTCATTTGAACTGGCAGAGACAAAAACTCAATGGAAGGTGCATTTTGTCATTTTCTTTTATAGTTACTATGGCTTAACTCTTGTGGCTGGTAGACTATACCCATCAAACTTGAGTCTCAGCTGAGATGGCCAAGTTATTTCAGAATAAACACTATTAAAATGCAATTAAGGATCAGCCAAAACATGAAATGTCTATACAGAATTTCCTTAATCATATCTTTTTTTTCTGTTTAGTTTGATATTCCTCCGAATTCTTCGAATTTTCAAACCAAAGACAAGAAACTGGAGATGAAGACCAGCTATTCTATAGTTCGTTACAATTTAACACTTTGGCTGATACCCTGACAAGTTTGAGGAAAAACCAGAATGAATGCCTGTTTTGACTTCATCAGATGTCTGATAATTCCAGCAAATTGCTAGTCCTCACAGATTGAAGGTCAGAATTTGCAGCAGGACAATTCCTAAAAGGCCCATCTACCTCCTGATGAGTAAAAAGCATGAAGAAAGTGAAACATGTCTTGAGGAAACATCCAAAACTAGGAGACAGTGAAAATGGTTATTCTCCGCTCTGCCTCTTACCCTTCTCAAGACTAAAAAGAGCCTTCATTACTTATGTCATCACAGCAGGGCAAATGCATCCCCTTCAGCACCTGCAAACCAAAGAACCTACTGGAAAACACAAGGGCTCCTTCGCTGCCTACATTTTTAGGTTTCCTAGAAACAGCAGCATGAAAGGAATTGATTACACATTCACAGCTCATCTTCCCATGCCGTCATGTTGCAGCCATGGTATGCCTCCAAGAAGCAGAACTGTGGGATGCAGCACTGACCCACGCCAAATTAACCCCATTCCTTAGCTAGGGAACTTTCATCTTTTAGTCAACTTGCAATCATTAAAGCTATTTCTGGTTACTTCAGACACTGCTGTAAGTGTGACCAAAAAGCTGGTCTTGCCACTGCTTGCAGTTACATAGTGCCAGCGTACTAATGGTAAGTCTGACACGGCAATTCCTCCTCTTCAGAGCTCGGGTGCATCGTGGAAGAACAGAAAGGCCACCTACCTTAGCAGATGACCAGAAGACAGGCACAGCATTGTGGTTCATGTTAAGAACGAGCTAAGAGCTGAAGGCAGCTCAGGCTGCTGTGATCTGACTAGATCGAGTACTGCCCAGGAACTATAAAAGCAGTTTAACTTAAGACTGACCACCTCTACAACTGACTTGCCTTATGTGATGAAGAACTGGAGTTGGGGCCATTACAATGCAAGAGAAGGTTATTGAACCTGTGTGCTTATAGTTTGAAGGAGGGGTTCCGCCAGGCTTCCCTGACAGAGCACAAACAGTACCCAGCAGAGAGCGCCACACAATGTGTGACAATTAAAAGAACAGTCTACAGCTGCCTGAGAATCCAACATATACCATCTTAGACAACCACTGTGAAGAACAAACAAGTTCAAAAAGGAAAAATGCCAGAAGAGTACTAGCTCTAGTACTTAACTTACACTAGATATACAGATTAGTTTTAAACCTCTGCATGTTTAATGGATAAAGGATAGAGTTATGTAAACAGTGATGTCACAAGGGCCTCTTAACCTATCACATCCACATAACCTAATCAGCAGGTACCAACTCCTGGACACGGTTCACAACAGCGAATTCTAGTCTTGCTTAGAAGCTTATCCAGGCTCTGCTTTAATTGCTTGTCAGCCTCCTTTTCAAAGCGCTATTTTAACTACTTACATTTTGGGTCTACTGAAAATAGACAAGTCCAGTATTATACAGGTTAGATTAGCCTTTATTAAAATACAGAACTATATGAAATTTGAGCTCAATAGAAGCTTCGGAATACACATTAAAGGTCATAATTCGGAGGTGGCATGTCAATGATCTCATCAAGGGTAGCAAGGAAGTCAGCAGTCGATTGTAGCAAGTCTAAAAGTTAGAAATAGAGCAAATCAGTTCTCACGAAACCCAGAATTTATACTCTAACATAAGCTAGCTCCCAGTGGATTAGCATAAGCCTCTTGAATGACTAAGGGAAATAGTTTGATTGCAGAAGCCAATTCCACCTAACTGACCAGTTAGCAATGCACTGCAAGAGGTTGCTCAGCAACATCACTTTGAGACCACTACCTGTGTGGTGGGGTTGACCAGTTAGATTCAGCTTGACTATACACCAAAAGCTGTTCGATACTAGTGTGCTATTCTGGTAGTTAGGACAGCAGTGGCAGTTCACTACTGCAGCCAGCTAGCTTCCCTCCCAAACCACTAATGAACACTGTATGTGCCGAAACTCATGCTAAGTTTCCACTTACTAGACTCCCATGAAATATCTTCGATCTTCACAGGTGAAGGAACCATGTTCACGCATCTGTCGTATGTCCTCTCAAATATCATGAGAGGAACACCATGGAGGTTGATGTTGCTTACTTTATGCTCCTCAGGAAGATCAAAACTCTCAAAGTCTGTTTGAGAAAGACAGGCTGTAGTTTAGTAACGGTGTACAGTAGCAGTAGCCTGGGAAGCTGCAAATTCTCCTAGATTACATGAAGCGGGAGTAGGTCCAAAACAACACAATCCAACAGTCCCCTCCTATGGGGTATTTATTTGCAGTTATACCTTAGTTGTCCATGAAATCCCATACACTAACACTTATCAAAAGACTAGACTGCACAACATAGCTGCTAATGTAAAGCAGGAGCTTTTCGTAATTTCTTTCCAATCACTATGCTAAGTCACCTTCATCAAGCACAGCATATAGATTTCACCAACAGTGAAGCAGTCTTTGGTACAGTAGTTTTTGCACACTCGCTTCCACATGAACTGGATGGTTTATGGAAGGACACTTTGAAGGACTGAGATGCACAGCCCATTGCAGATACACGAAGAACAGCTTTGGAAGTTTCATCTTCAACTATTATATCCTACAGCAGTAGGAATCTCTTCAGTTACAAATTACCATCTTGGCATACACTCTTAAGAGAAGTCTACTCTTCAGTACTGCTTAAGTACTCCTTTGAATACTTGTCTACTTGTTGTCCTTCAGTGAATTACAAGGCTATAGCATGGTTATTTGGAACTAGTTTCCTGCCACCATAATAATGGACTCAGACTACTACATATCAAGAGCACAGCTATTGCAGTTAGAAATATTTAAACAAGAATGAGATGGTATTTCAGAAGTAGCAAGCACCCTCATGTTTAAGAAAGGACTCAAGAAATGCAATGCTAGCTTGTTTGCCACAATAGCTTGGCCAAAGACTTCCAACAATGTCAACACTCATGAAAGCCTGATTGTTCATTTTAATAATTACACCAATAGATCTTACCTCGAGGGTCAAAAGGAAACATATTTTCTATTTCTGGCCAGTCTTCTTCAGCCACTGCATCACAACTTTCTAATCCAGCAGTCTTTTCAGTAATCTTAAAAAGAGAAAAAGTCATATTATTTGAGCAACTGTAGTTTCCCATTGTAGTACCTTTGCAGTGGTTTTCCTGTGCTATACAGGTCTACAGACAAGAATGCCTACCATACAGTCCTCAGTTATGCCTAAATTCTAATACTTTCAACACAAATAAGCTGGAGATGGGCAAATGCTTCAGTTGAATTTATGTAGTGCAGTACTATACTATACATAGTGGCAACAAATCACTGCACTAGAACATTTAGGCTCATAATATTAAACTCCTGATACTTAACACGTGAATAAGACATTAACTCAGACTATTTTCTCTAGAGCCACTTCTTTGGCATTAGGTACCCCCTAAGCTGTTGTACTCCTCGTGCCTATATAGGTGTACTGGTTTTGGCTAGGACACAGTTATTTTTCTTCCTAGTAGCTCATATGATGCCATGTTTTGGATTCATCATGAAAACAGTGTCGATAACACACAGCTGTTTTAGTTATTGCTGAACACTGCTTACACAGAGTCAAGGCCTTTTTCTGCTTCTCGTGACCCCACCAGCGAGCAGGCTGGGTGTGCACAAGAAGCCGGGAAGGAACACAGCTGGGATAGCTGACCCCAACTGACCAAAGGCCTATTCCATACCATATGACATCATGCTAAGCAATGAAAACTGGTGGGGAAGTTTCCCATGGCTGCCATTGCTAAGGGACTGGCAAGGCATCAGTCAGCTGGCGGTAAGAAATTGGTTTTGTTTTTCTTTGAGACTTTTAATTATTAGATTGTCTTAATAACCCATGAGTTTTCTCACTTTTACCCTTCCAGTTCTCTCCCCCATCCCACTGAAGGGGGAGTGAGCAAGCAGCTGTGTGGTGCTTAGCTGCCTGCCAGGGTTAAGCCTCAACAGTAGGTAAACTACACATTTTTGGCCCCCCATAGATGTGTGTTGTACTCACTTTGTTTGCAGCGCAAGGCTGATTTTTCTGTCTTATCTTTTCCATCTTGCTCGTGACTTCTTCAGTTCTATTCACATTTCCAAGAGCCTTTCTGACAGACTGAGATGTGGCTGGAGATGTACTGATTGCTTTTTTAGGAAGCGGAGTGTTAACTTGTGTTCTTTCAGATAAGACTTTCGCTGGAGAGTGGGAGGAATTAAAAAAAAAAGCAAACTTTAGCACCATATCAACCCTAAACCTTGCTTCAGTAAGTGCATGTACTGGAAAACTAGTCGTCATAAAAGTCATTGTCCACCATTTATAACTCGGGAGCATAAGCCCCATCTATGACAAAAGCAGAGTTATTTTCATTTTTATAGTAAGTGGTGGGCTGAGCAGAATTGGTTAGATAAGTAAATATAAAAATAGAAAACCATTACTGTTCCAAACAGTGAATAACGAAACATGACCTATGCACTTCACTTGATCCCCCACGGGCTCAGGGCAGCCTATACGCACAAGATCCCGAAGGGAACCGTAGCTGATTCTTAGCAGCGCCAACTTCACCATTCTCCTTGTCAATGAAGATCAGCGTTGCCATCTTCAGGCTGGTGAGACCACTCTGGAAAATCCGTACCGGAAAAAGAGGAAATCATTCTGTCATTTCTGCCACCACAGGACACTTTTTAAACAACCCACATGAAAGACAATATAGCTGCCATGCGCTGGTGCCCGGACGAGGGGGAACGAACCCATACTTGCACCATTCGCTCCTGGTGACAGCGCCAGAGGCCCGCTCCTCCTGCGCTCGGGAGACCCCGGCCTTACCCAGGGGACCCCCACCGCTCGCCCAGCCGAGGGCTCACCTCAGGAGGTCCCGGCAGCGCCGAGGCCGAGGCCGAGGCCGGACAAGAGCTCCGGCGGAGCAGAGGGCGAGGGGCGCCTCACCGCGGGCGGGGCGGAGCGGGGGCCTCACGGCGGAGCGCAGAGCCGCAGCACCCCGCGCCCCAACCGCCGGCAGGTTTTAAACCGCCCCCGCCTCGCCCATTGGCCGCTTCGACGAACGCTCCGCAGCCCGTTGGCCCCGG